TGGAACAGCGCGGGCGAAGAGCTTGTCCGCGGTGGTATCGCGGACAAAGGCACGAGAACCCCAGACACGGAACACCGACGCATCGCCAACCTCCCCCGTCCACCGCAGTGTGGGCGAGGCCTCCGGCAAGGAGACACGGGGCCAGAGGTTGAGCTGATGCGCGGCGTAGCGGACCGCAAACGGCCACAGAAAATGGGGGGCAGCCGCATGGACCATGGAGGTACGAGCGACCTCCATGACCAAGCCAATGCGGCGCTCAGCAACCCCATTCTGCTGCGGAGAGGCCGGAAGCGTGAACGTCTGGCGAATGCCCTCCCCACGACAAAAGCTCTGCAGAAGGTCGGAGGAAAACTCCCCACCTCTGTCAGAGTGCAGACGCAGGACGGGAAACTCCGTCCCGAACCGCTCGCGGAGCTGGAGACGGGCAGCGCGGATCCAAGGGATCAAAACATCAGGGACCTCACCCTTGGTGCGCAAGGGGAAGACCGTGGTGTAACGTGAGTAGTCGTCAACAACCAGCAGGAAGTACCGCTCGCGGTCCTGCCCACTGACGCGGGCTGGGCCCCACACGTCCATGTGCAGGGTCTGCAGGGGAGCAATCGTCGGGGGAAACGAGGAGGAGTGAGGAGCGGCGCGCTGCCGCCCCTCGACACAGGGAAGACAGGGAGGAGCAAGCAAGGGAGGGAGGGGAGGGAGAACCCTGGGAAGACCAGAGACAAGGACACGGCGGTGCATGCTACAAAGGCGCTGCACCGAGGGGTGACCAAGACAGTGGTGCCAAAGGAGGGTCTGGTGCGACAAAGCGCGACACGAGCAGGGGGCAGCTAGCTGACCTGACGCAGACGCAGACGCAGCGACCTGAGGGGACACAGTAGTCAGTGTGTACAGACTCGAGCCAGGCGCACGGGTAAACGTGGCCAGGTGCCGGCCCGTCCGGGAGCACGTACAGTGGGTCACGCGCTGACCTCCAGGAGTGAACTGGTCAACCCACTGGTCCTGGAGGTCAGCACCACTCACCAAGTTCGTAGAGAACGAGGGGAGGTGAAGACCTGACAGGGAGCCAGACGGGACCGCCGGACACGGCAGGACCGTGAAGGAGTGCGCAAGGACTGGACCCCCAGAGGGGTCAGCCAGGGAGACTGCAACCGACCGACTGAGCGGCGTGAGGGTGGTGCTGTCGCGAAAGAAGGAGCGAGAAGCACCTGAGTCAAGTGTGAAGGTGTACAAGGCCTCAGCAGGCGCAGTACCAGAGAGAGCAGACTCACCAGTACCTGGAGCAGCAGCCTCACCAGCACCTAGAGCAGGAGACGCACTAGCACCTAGAGCAGCAGCCTCACCAGCACCTAGAGCAAGAGACGCACTAGCACCCAGAGCAGCAGCCTCACCAGCACCTAGAGCAGCAAGCCCTATACCTGAGTCAGGCGGTACGCACAGGTAACATGCACCGTCAGCACTAGTTGGCAATGCATACATAGCAGTGAGAATAGCATTATAGTCAAGAGCAAAGATATCGACCCTCTGCCTAAGCAGCTCCAGCCAGATGGGGAGCTCAGCCTCGTCGCCAAACTCGGTACGCCAGGCGTCGCTCAGACGGGCGAAGCAGCGGGACTGTGTGTGACCAAGCGTCCCGCAAGCCTGACCAGCCCGATCACCTGTGCGAATGACGTACGGGCAGCGAACGGTACTCTGAGACCCTCTACTCTGAGCGTACCACTCACGAAGCTGCTGGGACGTAAGTGTCTCGCGCGGACGCCGCTGCAGCTGCAGCTGGCCACTGCCAGACGCTCCCGACTGACCAGCTCCAGGGCGACAGCTACGACGGCTACCGCCACAACCCCAACTGGCGTACCACTCATGAAGCTGCTGGGGCGTGAGAGACTCGCGCGGACGTCGCTGGAGCTGCATCTGGCCACCGCCAGTAGCAGCAGTAGGAGTAGTAGCAGCAGTAGCAGCAGCAGCAGCCTAGCAGCAGTAGCAGCGCGGGCAGGGCAGGTGCGGCAGGCAGGCAGGCAGGCAGGCAGACAGGCAGGCAGATGGCGCGGCAGCGCGCGAACAAGGCAGGTGCTCACCAGTGGTGGGAAGGGCAGGCGCTCGCCGGGCGAGCAGGACCGGCGCTCGGCGGGCGGCGGCCGGGTAGGCGCACAACGGCGGCGACGGCGGGGCCGCGACAGCTGCGGCAGAGCAGGGCCGCGTCGGCGGTAGAGCAGGTCCGCGACAGCTGCTGCAGGGCGGGGCCGTGACAGCTGCAGGGCGGGGCCGCGAGGACTGCTGCAGGGCGGGGCCGCGAGGACTGCTGCAAAGCGTGGCCGCGACAGCGGCAGGAGGCTCCGCGGCAGCTGCTGCAGGGCAGGGCCGCGACGGCGGCAGAAGGCTCCGCGGCAGCTGCTGCAGGGCGGGGCCGCGACCGTGGCAGGGCGCTCCGCGGCAGCTGCTGCAGGAGCGACGGCGGTAGTCAGGCAGGGGCGGCGTCCAGGGGGGGGGCGCCGCGACAAGGAGGGACGGTACCCAGGGGGCGTCGCGACAGGCAGGGGCGACGTCCAGGGGGCGCCGCGACGAACAGGGGCAGTCGCGGCGCGTGGGACTGCAGCGGGCTACGCGAGCTGCGGGCGCGGCACGCGAGGCCGCAGCGGGCTGCGTGAGGACGGCAGCCGCGGCGCGCGGGGCTGCAGTGCGACGCGCGGGCAGCGGACGCGACGCGCGGGGCTGCAGCAAGCAGCGCGGGCTGCGGACGCGGCGCGCGGAGCAGCAGACGCGACGCGCGGGCGGGGCAGCGAACGCGACGCGCGTGCAGCGGACGCGATGCGCGGGCAGCGGACGCGACGCGCGAGGCTGCAGCAAGCAGCGCGGGCTGCCGAGGCGCGACTCGAGCAGCTAGGGCGACGCGCGGGGCAAAAACGGGCCGCGCGCAGGAATTAGGTCTGCGCGCTCTAAGCAGCAGCAGACCGTTCAGACAGCAGACAGAAGGCAGCAGTCAGACGGCGCGCGCAGCGCAGCACGTCACAGGCACAGTCACAGGCACAGTCGTGGGGTAGCGATAGGTGGGCACGAAAAAAAGACGGTCCTACGGACCTATTGCTCTGATACCATGTTAGAATCTAGAGACAGGAATGAATCAACTATGAAAGAGTTGGGTACAAGTATGTAACCCTAAAAGGGGCTGTACCCCATATTGGCTACCCCACTACAGCCTACACATATATAACATGCATATACTTAGACAGATCTGGCAAATTCTGACGTGCTCGGTTCATTCGCTCGATCACAGGATCAGCACCCGAGCCGCACACTCTCCGCTCATTTGCAAAGCAAGCCTAAATGTTGGTCGAAACTTCGGAATTTGTGCGATGGGGAAAATCCGCGATTACGCAAATCTGCACTGCCATCGTATCGCATCGCACCCGACCCCGCCCTTCACCCCCGCAGCACCCAACCCAACCCTCTCCCCTTCACCGTTCCCTTCCCTTCCCTTCCTTTCCCTTCCCATTCGCGCACTACCCTAACGAATACAACCATTTTAGCCCATTCGCTGCACAGCAGGTGCAAAGGTCAACACTCATTAGCTCTCTTTCCCAGCAAGCAAGCAAGCAAGCAGCATTGCTGCAGAGCAGACGAGCTGTGCGCGGCGTTAATTAGAATTTTGAGCACGCATCCAGAAGAGTGCTACCCGCCAAGCAAGGATTCCCAAGAGAAGATAGTTTGTCATTACCGTCCAAAAAACAGTCACGGACTGACACAACAGGACGGTACATGCGCCACCATGAACAGTGCACGTGGAACAGCTAGGCACGTGTTTGCCCGTGGCTTTCTCCGCAGATACCGTTCCGAGAGCGTGGATAGGAGAACCTCGGAAATGCAGAACTGCTCACCCTCTCCGCGCAGGCCGAAAGCGTTCTTTGCTCATCCGCGCTGGTCCTCACGAAGCATAGTCAGCACTTCTCCCACGCGCCACTCGCACTTTCACCGAAAGCAGAATGTGTGTACAACGCTTGCTGCGTAATACGCTGCCCACCCAAGCTTGGCTGGCGGTATTGCCGGTGTCTTTTGCAAACGCTCGCTCTTCGTGCGCTACTCTTCGCCGCATCCGCATCCACCTTGCCGCGTACCCGCCGATGCACAGCAATGCAGTAAACCCCAAGCCTCTCCGCGAGCCCGTCCGATTCGTCGTTGGAAGCTGACGTGTGATGAGATCAAGCGAGTCGCTGTCACGATAACTCGTCAAAATCGGGATGACGTGTCCGCCTGTCTCGAGGTGACTCAGGCCAAGATCAAACTTTGAATACTGTACAGAGCGGCGGGGGTGCCAATGCCAAGCCAAACAGATGGGTCACTCCGAGTGTCGCGCTCGCCTGCTCCGCTCTGCCGATGGCTGGCCGTGCAGTGCAGTGCGTCCGTCCGACGCGAGTCGCGCGGTACGCCTCTCTCCTTCCCCCCCTCCGCGCGCCCACGACCCTCCCCCCACCCTCACGTCCCTCCCTGCCACTCACTCATCAGATCAGGCCCCCCATCAACCCCCATCACTGGCACTGAGGTGACTTTTGAGTCGACTCAAAAGTCGCCCACGATCCTTCCCCCACCCTCACGTCCCTCCCCGCCACTCACTCATCAGCCCCCCCATCAACCCCCATCACTGGCACTGGGTACCAGCGCTGAACTGACTCATCAGCGGTCACGGACACAGTCGGTCGACCCTGTAGCTCGCTCTGGTTGACCCACTGCCACTCCTTCCGCGTCAACTTGAAGGGGAGTAAGATCCCCTCTCTCGCCCGTCCATGGGCCACTGACCATCCATTCATCCGCCCGCCACATCCCCTCCCTCCACACTCACGTTGATCCACCCGCACGCATCCCACCCACCTCGAGTATAAAATAAAAGCGCCCGGCGCGAACTCGAACTCCAGAATGCCATACATTCCCCGTTTTGCGTCGTTTTCGACTATTACTAGCGACCGAGATCTCACGCCGTTTCAACGAGCAGTAGCAATCGTCCACACAGCTGAGTCATGTCGTCCACGCCGCATCGCACGTCGTCGTCCGGCGCCGCCGCGACGCGGCGAGCTCGCGGCGCAACCCCCAGGCCCCGCGGCGGCGCGCCACCGCCGCTGAATTCTCGGAGGCCCTTGGAGATTCAACTCTGCAGCGCTGTCGGCTGTGACGGCGCTTACAGCGGCGTCGCCACCTCACATCTGCCAGATCATGCCACATCCGCCGCTACTACGAATGTCGCCACGAGCCACAGCCCCACGGCTGCGCTGGACTTCCCCTCCTCCCCTTCCGCGCTCTCGTCCGCCTTTCCTTCCGCGGACGGCACTTCCGCCTTCCCTTTCGCCTCCCCTTCCGCCTCCCCTTCTGCCTTTCCTTCCCCGTTCCCTTCAGCCTTTCATTTCGCAGTCTCCATTCCTTGGCCGTCCGATGCCGCGGCTCAATTCAGCGCAATCGACGGAGAAGCCGCGTTTTCCTGCGAGGGACGAGCTGCTACTAACGGTACCGCGCGCTTGGGGATTGGTTCGACGAAGTGGTCGCGTTAGGGGTTGGTAAGGCACCAAGGGTGGTGGGGCGGAAACAGCAGCAGCGGCTGATGCTGTTGTGGTTCGATGATGCTCCTCATAAGCTCGTTTCGCCCGCATTTCCTCAAGTCAACCGAACTAGGCAAGTCAACCGAGTCAACTGAGTCAACCGAGTCAACCGAGTCAACCGAGTCAACCGAGAGTCAACCGAGTCAACTGAGTCAACGCCTTCAATGACAGTCAATGGAGCACAGCACAGTCAATGCATACGATAGAGTAAATGGAGAGTCAACGCAGCAAATCTAGTCAACGCGGCAGTCAACGCGGTGACTGCGGCAACAGCTGTCAACGACTATTCTGAAACAGCACCTGCTGACGCCAGCCTTCAGATTCTGCGCCTTGGTGTCAGCTCCGGACTTGAAATCCGAGCCTGCAGCCTTGGGTGCGCCCTGGAAGGCAACCTCTGTGGACTCGCAACCCCAGCAGCAGAAGAGAGGGAGGCGCACGTGGGGAGCAAGTGGGGGAGGTGCAAGGGGAGGTGTTGAGGCGGTGAGTGGAGGACATTGGCCGGCATGGGTGGTGTCGAGGAGGGAGATAGGCAGGGGGCAGTACGGTGTGATATGGAGATGCGTGAACCGCAGCACCGGGGAAACACCTTGCCTGCAAGAGCATCCGAAAGTCCGCCAATCAGGTACGGCGCTGAACTACCCTGCCCTCACCTCCTTGCCCTGCCCTCAAAATCAGGTTGCTCTCTGCCATGGTGATCCCCCTGCCATATAGTCTCCCTGCCCTGCCTCAAATCTCGTTTCCTTAATCTCCATGTTCTCATCTCCCTTCCCTGATCTCCCTGTCCTATTTTCCCTCCGGTCTCCTCTGCCCTTAACCCAAATCCTTTCTGCTCTTGTCCCCATCTTCATCATCTGTGCTCCTCTTCCCTTTCCGCCCTGCCTCCTGCCTCGTGTCTCTACCCCAGTTGTGCAGAGTGCTGCTGACGTGGAGACAGTGCGAAGTGACGTGGCATTTACAGAGGAACTCACGGGCTGGAAGCATTTGACCCAAGGACGTGCATATAACGAGGACCTCCCAAGGAGGCGTGTTCCTCTATTGGGGATAGTGGGGGCGGCAGAATACATGGCTCCAGAGGTGTTCTCAGGGGCATCGCCTTAAATGCGATGTGTGGAGCGCCGGTGTTACGCTCTTCATGATGTTCTGCGGGCAGACTCCATTCCCACGTGATAGACCCATCCACTCCAGCAGCAGCAGCAGCAGGAGCAGCAGAAAGGGCAGAAAAGGCAGCAGGGGCATCAGCAGTTGGGAGGAGGGAGCAGCAGCAGGTGATGAAGAGGGTGTGTGGCGGAGGGTAGTGGAGGTGAAGAGGAGGGGGTTCATCCACAGCCGGGGGTGGCAGGAGCTGTCGTCACCAGCCAAGCATCTCATCATTCGCATGCTCTCTGCACCCGAATCACTTTGAACGAGATTCTTGGTGAGTTAATTCTTTGTAAGCTGGTTCTTGGTAAGCTTATTCTCGGTAAGCTGATTCTCGGTAAGCTGATTCTCGGTAAGCTGATTCTTGGTAAGCTGATTCTCTGTAAGCTGATTCTTGGTAAGATGATTCTCGGTAAGCTGATTAGCCCCCCTGAGTCAGGAAGAGAGGAGAGGTGGTTTTCACGTGGTTGAAATCTGTTATTTTGTATGATTTTGTGGCACGACTGATGGGTGTGATGCTATGTGGTTGTTTTGCAGAGCATGAATGGAATTTGGCATCAGAGAAGACAGGAAGGTCATGGTTAAATAAAGTCCCGTTGGCACACGATAAACTCTTACCCATCGAGAGGTTTGCGCAGTATGCTTCTTAAAGAGGTTTTCATGCCCCTCACGGTTGGTCAGCCCACAAACCATGTTAAAAGGGGTATAGAGACATAAACAGCATGACGAGAGTGCAGGCAGGGCGTGTGAATACTGCAAAATGCAGCCTCCATGCTGCCCCTGTGCACAGTGTTTTGTTGGCTTTCCTTGCAAGTATCATCGCATAAAATATATTCCAAGTTGGAATTTCCAACTACATGTGTCAATTACCACATGCTTTTGCTTTATTATATTACTCTTCCTACTCTTGGGTTTATGTTCGAATATGCTTGGCATATCGAAGCTGCAGTATGGACCCCCACAGTCCACGGTTTTTTGGAAAGGCTCGGTTTTCGATTGCTGCTCGGGGCAGGCAGGCACGTCAGCATCGAATGCAAGATGCTCCCCGTTTTCCGCGGTCGATTAATTCGGTGCGATCAGAAAATCAGCACCCGAGCCGCGAATTCCGGCCTCAATCTGCCATCGTGCGTTAGTGACACTCGCCTTTGGAGTGTCAATAACTATATGGGCAGACCGCTCCTTGTGTCTTCGCACAGTTTGCCACCAGAAAAATGTGTAAATGAACTTTGCAGTCCCAACATCAGAATGTGAGTGACGTCTCCTGGTGTGCATGGGTAGGGCGTGTAACTTTTTCTATTTTTGACCGTTCGGACGGCTAAACGTCCGGACTTTTTTAGGCTGAATTCGGCATCATCCTTCCACGAATCAGAGACGAAGCGAAAATTCACGAAGTTAGTAACCTTACAAAAGTCCGGACGATGGGCCGTCCGGATGGTCAGATAAGGAAAAAGTTACACGCCTCCCTCATGACTGTAAACGATGTACCGTTGGCAGGTGTTCGAATATGGACGGGGTTTCAATCCAACATGAGAAAGGACCAGTCACAACACAGCCTTGAGCATCATGTGATTGCGCCAGTCCGTTCATTCTCCCGCCGATTTTACCCGCCCAGCTGGAGACCGCGGCGGATCTTCTTAGACAAATCCATGCCACGATAATCTCCATCGCCCTTAGCCTACTCATTCCTGCCCTATCCTAACCCAAAGAAAACCGCTAATTTTCTCCAACCACATCACAAGCAATTAGACCCCGCTGTCCAGCAGGCGCTACAGCTCGCTAGCTCCTTCCTCTTTCTCTCCACTTCCATCGAGCAAACAGCATGCAAACGAGTTGCGTCCGTCGTTAGATGTCGAATACACTAAAGGCGCACTTGCACCCGACAGCACGAGTGCCCAAGAGAAAATAGTTAGTCAAAATACACGTTCAGAACCGTCCAAATAATAAGTCACGGCTGACAGCGCGTAACCGTTGAACGCTACAGTGGAACAGCTGGCACGTGTTACAGTTCCTAGTGCGGCGTGGTTAGGAGAAAAGTCAGAAGAGAGTTCTCCTCCTCTTTTCCTCATCGGCGTTGGCCCGCGTAGTCAGCATTTCTCACACCCGCATACTTAGTACTAGCATTGCACCACGCTTTGCGGTACTACGCACGTACACTACTAGCCCTTCACAGCACTGGCCCTAAGGTCCGCGCTTAGTACTAAGCAGCATAGTCAGCACTTAGAAGCCACGAGCGTTACACTATTTTACTGCCACCGGTACGCTCGAATAAGCTTTCCTGTGACCAGTCCTTCGCAGCGCTGGCTATTCTACTAGAACTACTCGTCCTCTCGTGACCCCTACAAGACAGCCAACGCAACATGCTACAGTAGCCCAAGACTGGCCGAGTCTGTCCGAATCGACGTGAAAATCTGATCTGATGCGATGACGCGAGACGCTGTCACGATGACTCGTCAATGGCGGGGTGACGAGTCGTGTCGTGACCTGGCCTCAGGCCTCAGGAGAGATTCTCTCGGAGAGCGGCGGCTGCCAAACGAAAGGGTCACAGTCGCCGCTGATCTTCTCCGCCGATCGATTCTCCGCCGATCGGTTCTCCGCCGATCGATTCTCCGCCGATCGGTGCTCCGCCGATCGGTGCTCCGCTGATCGGTGCTCCGCCGATGGCTGGCAGTGCAGTGCGAGGGAAAGTCCAACTCCCGCGAGCCGCGCGTCAAGCCTTCCCCTTTCCCCCTTCCAAACATTTTCCCCCACCCCCGCCTTTTGCGCGATCATTCTCACGTCCGTCTATGGCGTCGCTCTTCACGCATCTCATCGGGCCCTCCTCTCCTCACTAACGGAAGTAACTGTACCGCCGCTGAGTCATCATGAAACTGAATCAGTATTGGTGATCGGAGCGCATGGCATGGATTTTCTCGAGACCGCATTGGTTACTTACCGCTGAGGGCACTCACTGCACGGCTGTGCCCATGAACCCCAGGTTTCCTTAGCGTCGCGGGAAATGTTTCCTCTCCTTTGCACGCAGCTCCATCGATCCGCGTCGGCGAGTACTGTAGAACGTCAAAACTCGTCCGTTTACTCCCCGTAATGAAAAGTCCACAAACAGATCGCCCTACAAAACAGAGTCGTTACAAACTCACCCCGTAGCAGTCGCAGCTCAAGCCATTTCCCGTACAGTATCCCCTTTCAAGGCTTTCTTACTGGTTCCAGGCTCCCTGAAGCTCGCCAATCAGCACTTCCCGTTTCTCTCCATTTCTCGCCCGTTTCGACTACCAGTAGCGATTTCGCGCAATTTCGACTAACGAGCTTGTCCAACGTTGGAATCATGTCGTCGGATCGCACGTCGTCGACCAGCGCCGCGACGCGGCGAGCTCGCGCGAACTCCAGTCCCGGCGACTATAGTCGTCATTGGCTTCACAGCGGCGCGCCACTGCCGCTGAATTCCAGCAGAACCTTCGAAATTCAGATCAGCGCCGCTGCCGCCGCCGACCATGTCGGCGCGTATCATTGCGGCGTCACATCCGCCGCTACGGATGTCGCCATTCCGAGCTGCCGCAGCCCCACGACCACTCTCGACTTCCCCGCGTCCCCTTCCGCGTTCTCTTCCACCTTTCCTTCCGCGGAAGAGACTTCCGCCTCCCCTTTCGCCTTCCCTTCCGCCTCCGCGTGGCCGCACGAGTTCCCGATCATGTCTCCTTTCGCCGACTCCATTCCTTGGCCGTCCGATTCCGCGCGATGCAGCGCAATTGACGGAGAGCCGTTCCCCGTGGCGGATCCTGATATCGCGGCAGCCGACGTGGCGCTTGAGGATTGGTTGAAAGAAGCAGCGGCGTCAATGGATGAAGCGGCGGCTCCAATGGTTGAAACGGTGGCACCAATTGTGCTGGGACGGAAACAGAGACGGCGGCTGATGCGGCAGTGGTTCGACGATGCTCCTGATGGGCTCATTCCCTGAAATCAACCGAACCAGCAAAGTCAACCAAGTCAACGCATTCGATTCCAGCAAAGTCAACACGTCGATGGAGTGAATGCAGTCAACGCGGTGAAGGCAGTCAACGCGGTGAATGCAGTCAAACGGAGTCAATGCGGCAACAACGACTAATCTGAATCAGCACCCGCTGACGCCAGCTTCAAATTCCGAGCCTCGGATTCAGCTCCCCACTCAGAACTCGAGCCTGCAGCCTCGGATGAGCCCCCCAAATCAATCACCTGTCAACTTGCAATCCCAGCCGCGGAGGATCCGAATGTGCAAGTGGGGGAGGAGTTGAGGGGCGGCGAGTGGATGGCATTGGGCAGCAGGAGGTGGTGGTGAGGAGGGAGATAGGCAGGGGGTAGCACGCCGTGATATGGAGATGCGTGCTCAGCAGCACCGGGGAGATCACTACGAGCAAGAGCATCCGAAAGGCCGCCTGTGGGTACAGCAGAATTCATGGCTGCTGTTGTGTTTTCAGGGGCGTATAGTGCTGAGTGTGATGTGCGGAGCGCTGGTGTTGCTTTGCTCTCTTCCTTATGCTCTTCGGCCACACTCCCTTCCTTCGTGACAGACAGAACAGCAGCAGCAGCAGCAGCAGGAGCAGCAGCAGCAGCAGCAGGAGCAGCAGCAGCAGAAGAAGAAGAAGAAGAAGAATTGGAGGAAGAAAGGACAGCAAAAAATGCAGCAGTGGGAAAGGGGAAGTAGCTGCTGCAGCTGATAACATGATGTGGCAGAAAGTAGTAAATGGACGAAAATGTTTTGGAGTCCGTTTTCCAGCATAATGTTGGGCCTAGTTATGTCAAATCTTTTTTATCAGCTGGTTTTCTCCCCTTGTCACTAAAATGAACTTTCCCAACTGGTTTAGTTCATAAAATTGTTCAAAATAACATGTGACACTCCGTTCTCTTGCGTTTATGCTGTCACATATGCTTGCCATATCGAAGCGTTGCACGTCTACAAGACGACAAGATGCTTTCTGCAGAGACATGTCATA